ACAAGGCATGAACATGCCAAAAGACACGGACATACATAAGCATTACATCAAACACCTTGTTTAGAAGTTTGTCCGTGATAGCTCGGTATACAATATAGTACCATACCGTACCAACTGAGCGAATCTCGAAACTTCGGTACGATATGAAATTTCAATCCTTGCTTTTAAGTATTATGCCATTTGATTTTATGATTATCAACTCATACTAAAGTTTCTTCAGTGCATCTCATGTTGATCTGTAATATCATGCTAGTGAAACTGGACCTTCTAACAGCTTATATGTCATGGTGTAGGCTGTTCTCTGGAATATGGAAACCCGGCAAACAGAGAGTACTCAAGAAGAGCATAGTCTTATCATTACTGATGTTCGTTTTAGGCCAAATTCAACTCAGCTAGCGACATCATCTTTTGACAGACTTGTGAAACTCTGGGATTCTGCGCAGGTAAGGATTGGTTCTTTCTTAACTTTGCCTTGTTTTTTTTCCATTTTACTGTGTGGTTGTGCCTTGTGTGTTTATTATGGGTTAGGTCAGGTCAGGTTTGAGAGGCAGTAGAAAAGGGGACATAGATCTGACCTAGGTTTTCTCGACTTTTAATTGACCCATATAGCTAGTGGGTAGGGTTTGGTCAGGTGAAAAAGGGTTTATATTGGTGGATTGGTGGGTCAAAGCATGTTTGACATTGCCTTTTAGCAAAAATTTACTATGTTTTGGATCAGATTGATCCATAGTATCAAGGGAACATATACTCAGCCTGATTTGACCAACCTACCCGCAGGTCAAGATCTTTCTTTTTTTATTAGAATAAATGGAGGTTTAATTTATAAAATGTAGGTTAGATATAGGTCTAATTGATGAATGTCACATGATAATGTAATCATATATATGATACTATCAATACTTATAAAGAGGAAATACAATTCACATATATGATCACATTTTGATCCTTGTGCATATCACATGTTTGATAAATTTCATGTGTCTGTATATATATATATATATATATATATAATATCAATTGTGGTTGCATAGCCTTATTTGAGGTAGTCAGATGACATCATAGATATGTGGCTGTATAACAATTTAGTTGTATCCCTACTGTTTTTGTTGCTTGATTCAGTTACAAAGTTTTCATTGCAAACATGGATAATGATGTCAAACTTATCTTAAATGTGTAGAATCAACCTCCAATTGTCAAATTTCAGGCAACCACATGTGTTGTTAAAATATATTATTTCTATCTCTTATGTTATAAAGATTAATTTTTAAAATAAAATTTTATCTTAAATATAACTAATTAGTTGTAATTTAATTTTGCCTTCTATTTTCAATCCTCTTGTGACACATATATACATGATAATGGTATGATACAATTTGGTTATATTGATATGTCAAATCTTTAAAAACTAATGTGATACTGCACATATAGGATGATAACAATAGTTAATATCAAATATCATATGGTGAAGCTTAATATTGAAAGGGTGAGCCTCGACACCATGATTCTCTTTTGCAATATGAATGACAAAGATTCATATTTGAGATATAGCCTCTACTGAAGGGGGACGACTACTTGCAGTAGCACCTTTAGACTTTGCATCTAAGCCTTGTGATTTAGGTCATTTAATAATATGTCTTGATATATGTTTATAATATTAGATAGTCTATGATACACATGGGGAATGGACTCGATGATGCCGAACCTTCCTTTGAGTGGATTTATGTCTTCACAGAGGAGTTGTGCCTTTTGTAATGTAAGGATTTCATGAGCGATAATGCTTGGACTAATCTTGTGACAGGCGCTGATTGAAGGGGCTCCAGCTTGCTGTTGCCCTCTCCCTTTCTCTCCTTCTCGATCGTAAGGACCTCCTCTTGTTGCATGTTGCAAGTTGCTGCCAACTACTCTTGTTGCAGGTTGGTGCTACGAGGGTCCATTGGCTTTGAATCTTTTCCCTGTTTTAAGGAGGCTGCAGTAGGCTTGGAGGAAGAAGGGATGAACTGAGATGCTGCTTGAGGAAGATGAAGATGTCAAACTCTCCTCGTCTTTGCTCTTTCTCTCGGCTTAGAGGCTATGGTTGTCTGGTTTCTGAAGAGTTGAAGGTTGCACACCCCCTTGTTTTATAGGTTCAGGCATGCGGGAGAGTCCTAAGGAGTTTAGGATTCTCATAGGGTCGGTGCTTCTTGTTTCTGCCTTCATTTGGCCACCAGCTCCTCTCTTAATCCAAGTCTGAATTGGATATTGTTGCTGGTTTGAACTGGTCATCTGGTTTATGAAGAGTTGAAGGTTGCACGCACACCCACCTGTTTTGTAGGTTGGTGCATGGGGGAGAGTCCGAAGGAGTTTAGGACTCTCATAGGGTCAGCGCCCCTTGTTTCTGCCTTCAATTGGCTGCCAGCTCCTCTCCTAATCTGAGTCTGAATTGGATCTTGTTGCTGGTTTGAACTGGTTGAATCTGCAATTGGCTTGGTTCAATCTAACTTGAAGTTTGAGATTGAGCTCAAGTTGAGTTTAGTAAGATTGAGATTGAATCGGAGTTTGAGTCAAAGTCCAGTTGAGCTGAATTAGAGTTTGACTTGATCTCAGGTTGAGTGGAACTTGAGTGAGACTTAGGCTGACTTGAATTTGATCCTTGAGCTCGAATTCTAGCTTGAGTTGGTTCGGTTGGATTAAGATCAATTTGGAGTTCAACTCGAACTTCGGTTGAGCTGAATTGGAGTTTGACTCAAACTCAGATTGATCATCCCTTATCATGGCTCCCCCATTTAGGTGATTCAGCTATTGTTGAATTGGGAACAGAGGTTTTGCTTCTCTCCATCTGGCAGGTGCAGGCAATCAGAGATTTTGCTTTGGCTCGTCATTGTTGTTACCATCATCGTGCCCGACCATGACCTCTTTTGCACCGTCTTGATAGGGTTCTCCTCGTCGTCGATCACATCATCAACTTGAGGGTCTTGCTTTTGGACTTTTTGAGGCTACAAGCTTGTTGTTACCCCTCTTTGTTTCTCCTTCTTTGTCATATAGAGGAAGACTGAGATTTCCTGCATGCAGTAGTTAAAGCCACAAGCTTCCGGCAAGCTTCACCATTCGTTTTGCTTAGTTAGCAGATTTTAATCTATTGTCGAACTAATCAGATCTCGTGTGATGAGAAATTTGTTTCTATCCTTTTGGAATTGATATTGTTGGGCTCGACAAAAATAAATAACATATCGATGCCATGGGTAGGGGCTCCCAATGATGACTTGACATATGTCAAGCAACACCACTTTGCATGTCACCTCATTGATTTATTGATTGGTGATTGCGAAGCGGATCTTGCATTGGCAGTTCTTCTAGCAACCGTTATCGAGGATAACACCAACCTCTTGCTTCACCTGAATTTTTAATGTGAACGGTTCTTCTTGAACTTTTGGATCGGGGGATGGACTCGAGTTTATAACCTTCATCTTTGTCATCAACAATAGACTTGGATCCGTACGATCAACCGGTGCAAGTTTAGTGGAATCATTGCCAACGGTCACAACCACTATCCTTCAACTTTGGTTATTCTTTTTTCACCTTTTTGGGAAGAGATCCGGGTGAACCTTTTAGCACTTCTCCCTGTTTGACTAGCAATTTTACAGTGATTGTAGAAAATACCACTTTTCTTTGAGGAAGAGGAATTCTTACTGTTTCCATAATTTTCCTTGGCCTTCGAGTAGGCTTCTTTGTCCTTCTCTGTAGTCTTAACGCTATGGAATGTATTCTTTCTCTCGATCACCATAATTGTCCCGCTAGCACTCGAGACGTCATACACCTTGAAGAGGCTCAATTTAGTGCTATCTGATCATGAAAACCAACAGTAATCATCGCTTGTCAGAATTCGATGTAGTCCAAAAAGATTGGTCTTATCATTGCTGTAATCCATACCATCGACAACACTAGTCTTCTACATATCTCGTCAAGTAGATTTCTTAACGTAGGAGCCTTTTAAATTGTTCCCATGTCACCTATTCTTTGCCATAAGATCGGAGGTATGCCTTCCACCATGCTAGAGCATAACCAATAAATTTGAATCGTGCGAACGTGACTTTGTCCTTATCGCTATACCCATAGAGAGTAAAATAGATGTCAAGTTAATCAAGCCACATCCAATACCTCAATGTTGATAGAGCTGTCGTAGGAGGGGATGTTGATTTGGGCCTTAAATCGGAAGGGTCTAAGCCTTTCTGTTGCCACCGGTTTTGCAACATTAACATCATAATCACTTACTCATTGTAGTGTGTTTTCAATTAACCAGTTTGGATGTTCGATGAAGATGACCCTTTCTCCTTCACTACAACACTTATTTCTGTCGTCTTTCGCTATTGGGTTGACTTGAGATTGGATCCAACCCAACACATCTTCCATCTTTTGTGAGAGCATAGCAACTTGGGCAGCAAGGTCTACATATGCTATTGAATTGCTTGTTGTCATTGCATCGTTGTCTTATTTCATCGATGAGCAGGGTAAAAACTCCAACTTCTTTAATTCTTCATCAGAGTCTTTATATCCTTTTATGGTAACCATCTATAGGTGAGGATCGTTGCTCTAGTACTAGTGATTTAAAAAGCGATAGATGCCAAGGTCCCAAAATGCTCGAGGCATCAGGCTTTCGCTTGAGCGAAGCGAGGGGCTCTGAAATATTAAAATATAAAAAATATAATATAATTGATAAATAGAGATTAGCAATGCTAAAATCTAAATTATTATATGATAACATTAGTTAACAATCTATTGTTAATAGTATTTAATCTACTGTTAATAGTGATTAGTGGGGAGAAAAGAGTCATCGACTATGTAAAGTGGGGAAGGTGAGGGCGACGGTGACAGAGGAACTTTTGGATGATGGCAGCGGCAGTGGAGGAAGCTACGGATGACAACAGCGACGACGGAGGAAGCTGTAGACGGCAACAATAGCAGCAGTGATGGAGGAAGCTTTGGACGATAGTAGCGATGGAGGAAGCTACGGCCGGCAGCAGTAGCGATGGAGAATGCTTCAAACGACGGTGGTAGCAGCGGCGGCGGAAGCTGTGGATGATGATGGCATGGGCAGAGGAAGCTTCAAATGTCTTCGTCGGCGGTGGAGGAAGCTGCAGTCCTCTCCCTTGACGGTGGAAGGAGCTCACATGGAAGTAGTGGCAGTAGAGAGAATTGCATACAAAAGCTAAAGAGGTAGCGATAGAGGAAGTGTCGATTATGTGTGTCGGTGGTGGAGGCAACAACAAAGATGCGGCGGAGGCAGAGGCTACACTGGGGTTGCTCGAGGTTGCGTGAGGAGGCAGGGGGTGGGTTTTGCAAGTAAAGTAACTTTATGTAGCTTGGTTCAATTGAACCAACTAGCTACTGTTCAACCGAACTGTAGGCGCTAGGGTTGCATGGTTTCAATCGGGCGCTCGCCTGAGGCACTCAGCGCCTGGGTTTAGGC